TAGGGTTGGGGCCTTGTGCTTCCATGTGCTTTCTTGTCTAAAGTCATGGCTTTGTCAAGAGTTGGGGCCTTATGCTTCCTTGTGCTTTCTTGTCTAAAGTCAAGGCTTTGTCTAGGGTTGGGGCCTTGTGCTTCCTTGTCTAAAGTCATGGCTTTGTCTAGGGTTGGGGCCTTGTGCTTCCATGTGCTTTCTTGTCTAAAGTCATGGCTTTGTCAAGAGTTGGGGCCTTATGCTTCCTTGTGCTTTCTTGTCTAAAGTCAAGGCTTTGTCTAGGGTTTGGGCCTTGTGCTTGCTTGTCTTAAGTCATGGCTTTGTCTAGAGTTGAGGCCTTGTGCTTGCTTGTCTTAAGTCATGGCTTTGTCTAGGGTTTGGGCCTTGTGCTTCCTTGTCTAAAGTCAAGGCTTTGTCTAGGGTTGGGGCCTTGTGCTTGCTTGTCTTAAGTCATGGCTTTGTCTAGGGTTGGGGCCTTGTGCTTCCTTGTCTAAAGTAATGGCTTTGTCTAGGTTTGGGGCCTTGTGCTTGCTTGTCTTAAGTCATGGCTTTGTCTAGAGTTGGGGCCTTGTGCTTGCTTGTCTTAAGTCATGGCTTTGTCTAGAGTTGGGACCTTGTGCTTGCTTGTCTTAAGTCATGGCTTTGTCTAGAGTTGGGACCTTGTGCTTCCTTGTCTAAAGTCGTGGCTTTGTCTAGAGTTGGGACCTTGTGCTTGCTTGTCTTAAGTCATGGCTTTGTCCAGAGTTGGGACCTTGTGCTTTCTTGTCTAAAGTCATGGTTTTGTCTAGAGTTGGGATCTTGTGCTTGCTGTAGCTTGGTAATCCTTGCATTTATCAAAGGTGTAATTCAAAGACGTATGTAAAGCTGGTTTATCAAAGAAGAATGCTAATTAAGAAATATACTTTAATCCAAAATAAAAATGTCCAATAGGTTATATAAAAATATCTCAAAATATAAACAGTACTCCGTCAAGTTATAATTCCATTTTATTCTCTGTTTTGTTTAGAGTTGAAACAGCCTGTTAAAAGTGTAAAAGGTCGAGTTACTCTTTTCTTTAAATCTTGTAAACTTCGTCTTAATCTTTGAAATCTTGATGGTTTCTTTTCTGAAATGATAAAATATTTCATATTCTGAAACAAATTACTCAAAGAGAGTATTAGGTGGAGATTTTTGAAAAATAAAATCTCTCCTTATGGGATGTCGAAATGGATAACCAAGATGTGGGCATGTCCTTCCACCGTCACAGTATTTATTATAGACATTCAGTTATCGGACCTGGACTCAAGAATATATTGAAGAATGACCTCGGGGACAGTCTTGTCCACTATAGCTGTGTCAGATGGAAACTTAATAAATATTTCAGAGTATACTAACGTTTTATGTTTCCATTCCCTTCTGTGATATTTGAATGAACATCCGGAACTTTCATAACGTCTTTGGATTCATCTTTAATGTCAATGGAATCACCGTGAACCTCAGGTCTGTTGATGACGTATTTGGAGAAATCCACAGCAGGTTTTTTCGGTATTACATACTGCGATAAATCTAAATATAGATTCTTTTGTCTTAATTTCTTCACCAGGTCGTCATCAGATCCGACTGGAACATTCTCAGACGTTTCTGTTTCCGTTTCCGCAGACTGCAGTAGACGTAATGAACCATTAGTCAAAACGGGTGACTTTTCACTACGTATAACATTCACATGTCGTGTTGCTGGATCTCCAGAGCTTGGTTCATCATTTCTGGACGCGTCCAAATGTAGATTTTGTCTTGCAAAATCTCTCATCATTTCAGCTGGACTTCGTCTAAACATTCCTACTTCAGGAACTTCTGATTCAGGTGGAATTTTGGAAATTATCGTAAACATGACTACTGAAAGAAAAGAAACAATCGAAGATTTCAGTAAAATGTTTCTTAAATTTGAAATTGACTTGTGTAGAATAAGATATGGTAATTTTCAAAATGATTATTTCAAGATATAAAGTTAACAAAAGTTTCTAAAACACCAAGGACATAAGATTTTCAAAACCGTTCGAAGTGTTACAAAAACATCAAAACCTTGGA